TTCATATATTTAAAAATCTGCCAAATATAGAGCTTCAGGAGAACACGGAAACGCATAACCCATACCGAAGACCTAGATCCTGAATTAAAACATATGGCAGACTAACAAATGGGCTAGTCATCATGCATGGCTTTGCGTATTTTAGAAGAGGTAGTGGTTTGAATCACAGCATTAGCAGTAGAATTTTTTCTCCCTAGTAAAAACTTTTTTTCTGATAACATTATAGGAATTACATGAGACACTGCCTTATGAATAAATGGATACTATGTGCATCAGTTTAATGAACAGTCTTTGTTAAGAAATATATTTACAGTTTGAAATTGAAAGATTATTTTTTCCCCCGGTAAACTGAGTACAACATTTAATTATATTTTGAAACTGACAGAAATAGTACTAGGAATTATTATTTTTAGTTACATATGAGAATATTTTTTCTAAACAAATTAAATTTGCTTCTGATACTCATATTCAAGTATACTTAAGAGAAGGATTAAAACACTATTCTACTTTTCTGCTGTCTCTTTCCTCTGGTAGGTTCAGACATTATTAGCCAGCCTTAGTACCTACACATTTCTAAATGAAGTCTCTAAGACGCAATGGAAATTTGTGTCAAGTCCTGTTTCCAAATACAGACACATAGAAATAACTGAATTATTTGAGAGACTAGGAAAATAAATTATGCCGATGACATACTGTAACAGTGTGTGGAAATATTGGAAGTGTTCTCAGAGAGCGGAAGCGATCAAAGATTCAGCTTGTTTCAGCATGCCATGTTTCACTGTGGAAGGCTAGAAGAGGCAGATTCTGAGCTGAAAATGAGATTATGCATGCTTCCTTCAAGTATATCTGGGACTCACAGTAAGCCAACAGCCCTTACACTGTTACCTCTGAACTTGATGGATAGCGTGTGCTTCCAGGAATGCAGACCATGATATGGTTTTATACAAATCCCAACCTTCAAATTGTACACAAAAATCAATTGGAAAGTGAACTGCAGAGCCAAAGCATCTGCCTGACGTGAAGTGTTACTATCAAGTTAAACAGCAGATCAGTCACTCTCCTAAGCTGGATCCCGTAAGAGCCTGTGACCTATGCATTCCTGAGGCTCCTCCTTGGCTAGGATCAAAATGCAGACATAAAGGCAGAAGCAGCTCTCACCCTGCATGTCCTGAACCACTGCGTCTCCCCTCTCCTCATCTGCAAAAAATAGAAGGGCAAAACAGCTCCTCAGTTACAGGCCACAATTTTCCCCCATTTCTTGAATGGTAACATTAAACAATTTCCTCTGAAATTTACCTATACGTCACTTCTCTTAAGAGTAGTGGGACACAGTTATTTGCCTCACTGCAGCAGATCAAAGGGGATGAAAACATTACTCCCCCTAATCTCCTATTTCACTGACTAGTGTGGTGAAGACCCCCTCTTCTCCTCTGCTTTATCCATGGGAACCATGAGATTTGTCTCTCAGTTCCTTAGGAAATGGTTTTAGAAGCTTCACAGCATGAGAAATTCTAGGGCACTGCTAATAACTGGCATAAAGGTATTCTGTGTGTAATTGATTCCATTATTAGTGTACTGCTTCCTACATACATACTAAAAATGAAGACCATTAGGAGTTACTTACATAATGGTATCAGACTGCCTGAATCACTGATCCTAGCAGGACTAACGCAGGTCTCATTTTCTTTTAATCTAATTTTCTCTTCAAGTTAGACTTTCAAACAGGTCCCTTTGGTGCAATAGGTAAGCACAAGAAATGTTCAATGTTTACTTTAAAGAGAAAATATATTTTAGAATTTTTTTTAAAGTATGCCTTATGATAAGCACGAAAATGTAAGAACCATCGCTTCAGTTGCATTGGCTAAAGTAAAACACTTCATAGTTACTAAATATCAGCATTATATTTGCAGCTCAAAGCAATCCATCTGTCATATTCAGCAACTACAGAATACAGTATTAAACTTTCAGTGTTTTACTTGAAAGAAAGAGGTCAAAATTCAAAAATGACGTTTGACTAACTGCTAGCATGCCTCATCTTGGCCGTCATTTTATTTTCATGCCAGATGCAAGAAAGCCCAGGTTATCAGGTCAGACTGTAGAACTGGCATTCAACCAACCTCGAGTTTTGATCGAAAAATAAAATTATGATGCAGATAAAATATAAAATGCCAATTTTCATTGGTTAAGTTTAAAGACATAGAAGTATTTAAACTATTTCCCAGATAAGAATCATTTTTATTAAGAATATAGAGGAATAAAAAAAAATCTGACAGATCTAATATTCATAAGGCACTGAACCTAGGCTAATGAATTGATAATAAACATAAGGAATAAACAGGTGTAGAAAATCTAAAACAGTGATACAGAGCTCCCTGGTTTCCAGCATCACAAGAGAAACAGGCCTTAAACACCCTCAGGCTACACCAATTTTAAGGTTTAGTTTGTTTCTAATGATCTTCAGAGACTAATTCACAAATTACGTTCAAATATGTTCTCAGAATTTCTTTAAACAGACCCAACTAAATAACTCAAAGTGTAATTTTCTTCAAGGAACATCATTCTTGCTTCTTCGTATTTTTCCTTCAGTTATATACACAAAAGATTTGAAAAAAACATTGAAAGTATTCTGGATCAGTTCTTCTACTGATATAAAAATATGTAGCTTCCCTGATGTAAACAGAGCCACAATAATTTACACCAGCTGTAGAATTTCCTCTTTCTAAATTCAGTGTCTGCCAGACTGTTTTGTATAAAGAGTTCTGTAAAATGTTAGATTAACAAAGACCTGTAAATATGAAAGTAAAGTTGAAACTTGAAGAACAAGAATATCTCAGTAACGAGTACCTTGGAATATTTACTCAAAATATTCCAGGAGAACATCAAGAGAAAACATTTTGGAATAAATACATACTAAAGCCATAAATCCTGATAATCCACCACAAAGGATTTTTCACAGGAAAGAGCTGGAAGAGGTGGGTTTTGCTATTGGCAAGGTAATCCAATAGAACAACTGCTAAGGAAGCATTTCTTAGATTTGGTAATTGAGCCTTTGCAAACAAGTATTTTGATTAATACCTTAACAATAAGCAATTAAGTTTGCACTTCTCATAGCTCTACCATTTCAATCTGAGTAAACGTAGACTGGAGAATTGCATCAAACTGCTCACATTTATCTGACAACTTCTATGGTCAGGAGTGCAATTTTTTGGCTTGTTTCAGAAAGACAGTTTAGTCTGTGCAGAAACTAGGAAATTTAGAGGTGGTGCTGCCCCAGAACATTCAACTGATCCCTATAATATCCCAGCACCGAAATGCTGGGCCCATAGCAGACACTAACTTAAGAGCAGCCCTCAAGAAATATAGCAGAAATATAATATGACATTAGAAAATACTCTTCAACTTCCTATAAAGCAAACTGAAGCACACAGGAACGGTTTAAAACCAAAACCTAAATTCATCTCAACTGCCAAGGTATAAGCCAGCTTAGTTCCTTGAACAACCAGCATGAGATAGAGCCAGAGTCCTCTCATAGGCATAGATGTAGCAGACTTAATCTCACTGTCTATTTCAGATTTATCTTAAAATACCACTAATAAAATGCAGCAGGCAAAATAGAGCCTGAAATGAGGCCATGCCAGTGCAAATTCTTCTACTGCTTGCTAACCTGTCATAACACTTCTGTTATAGCACTAGTAGCCAGCTGTCCTGTCTGTAAAAGCCACGGGCTAAAAATTTGAAAGACCAAAGACACACTCACTCAGCATACCCACAGCACCCACCAAAACAGAGCTTCTGAGAAGTGCAGAAGTAGACAAGGCCTATCTTCCTTCACTCTAATGTAGGACGGGACACAGCAGGCTGTAGGTAAGGATAAGTTACATCCCACAGCGATTCAGCTTGAGCAACCCTGCTCTTTCATTCCTTGCACAGCTTGGGGATCCAGATTACCAAGCAGAACTGGTGCAGCCTATCCAGCAGTCGTCTGACAGCCCATGCCCACTGACACTTCAGCAGGTACTCTGGCTTACCCAGCTGCAGAAGATGATTAGGAGACAGCATACTGTTTCTGCAATGCGATGCACCTAAGCTCATAATGTCTTCACACAGCCTCATCTACTCCCCTCCCCTGTTCTTCTCTCCTCCCAGAGCTTTGCTCTGCTAAAAAGGACATATTTTTCTGACACTTGGGTAGGAATAAACAATATAGGATAGGAAAGAGTTCTAAGATCAGATCTGCTAACAGTGGACAAAGAAGGGTGGAGGGGAGAAAGCAGAAATTAGGGATTGTCATCTGAACATGTTAACAATATCAAGCTGTGCTGGCAAAAAGTGTCATATTATGATGTGTAACCATGAACGGAGCTTGTAAATTGGATTAAAAAAATCCTGTTGCTCTTCTTGGTTTTTGCAAGACTGTAGTCCGATTACTGTGTCCAGTTTCTCTAGACAGGTCTAGTCCGATTAGAGAGAGTTCACAGAAGAGCAAGAAGAATGGCAAACATACTACAAACAAGGGAAAACTGCAGGAATGGAGATTGTCTAATATACAGAAGAGAAGGCTAACTGGAGTTCAGACAACTTGCTTCTTAAAGGTTAGCTGCAATGAGAAAGAAACTGTTCTCCATGTCAATGGTGGTCATGGAATAGTGGACGTACACTGCTTCAGGGAGATTTTCCTTTGGACATTCGAACTTTCAAGCAGGAAGGCTAGTTAAAAACTGATTAGTGGGCCTGAAAGGCTGTGAAAACTACATCTTTTAATTATTATTTTTAAAGAAATAAGTTCAGCAATGATACAGATAGAGATGACCCTACTCTGGGTAGAACAATGGACTGAATGATTTGGTAATTTTAGCATGATGTTTCAGTGTAATAAATATTGCCATATGTAATTTTAAAGATTTGAATGTGCTATATGGAAAAGGAAAAATATGTATTCAGAAAATGCCTGAAATTATTTGGAAACAAACTTTCAACCACATACTTAGCTTATATTGCAACATCACCAGTTACAGAAAGGCAATATTTATTTGCAAAGTTCCACAAAACAGGCATTTTAGAAAATAATTCCCAACTATTCTTATCATGGTCATGATTTCTACATAATGTTCTTGAAGCTAAACAAAAGAAGTTACCAGCAAACATTAGATATTTATTTTATAGCACCATTTTTTTCTGTATTTCGTTCAAAATTCTGTGTGATTGAAAGTGGTTAGAAGAGAACGCTGTTATGTAAACTGACAACTTTAAAAAAACTTAAAAAAAATGCTTCTAAATAAAATAAATGCTTCACATCTTTTTGCATATCAGTTCCAAAAAGAATATTCCACGAAACATTTTATAGTAAAGTCAGTAAGACAGAATGCTATAAGAAAAAAAAAAAGCTTGCAAACATCTACAGCGCAACAGACTAAGAATTAAAATCCCTTTATCTGTCACCATAGCAATGCATCACAATTTATGATGAAGTGAGTTTAGTACCAGATAACCAGAAAATCAGTAACTGTAAAATCATTTAGCTTTATTTAGTATAACGCTTTGATATCCTCACTGTTACAAGCAACGCAGAAACATACATTTCAAGATTTTCTTTCATGCCAAATGCAAACATTTAGCAAAGGTTTTCTTTCTCCTTGCCTGAAGTAAGTTAGGGGTAAGTGTTCGACATACACTTGGGAGATTATAATGTATTGCAATATACCAATATTGTCTTTTGGATGATTTCAGGAGCAGAGGCAGAAATAATCAGCCCACACAATGTCCTAAGATGCAAGCTCTTTACCAGTGATTTTATTTGACAGTAGCACCACCTACTGGTCTAGATGATCTGTTCAAACTTTAGAAAAAGCTGTAGAGAGTGATCCAGCCAAAATGATGCAAAATGCTACTGTGAGTAATACGTAGTTTTGCAGTCCCTGGACAACCAAAGGGAGAGAAAAAGAAAAATGTCATGTTGCTATAATAGATACTACTTCGCAAAGAAGTAAAATACAGAATCAGAGTTTCATTTTTATGATTACGTGAATACATCCATTACGCGAAATGGTTTTATATTATGTTACTTCTACACAATAGAAGTGGTTCTATTTGTTTCTCAAAACTGTTCAATATGAGTAATTTAGGGAGCTATATATGTAGTAAATAAAATATTAACAAAATTAACTGATTAACTTAATTTACTTCTGGTATTTTTAAAGGAATTTCAGTCTATTTTCAGGTTATTTTTAAACAGTAAACACTCATGTTGAGACTATGCTAAAACATATGGAAAGGATGAAAAATCTGGTGAGTCACAAACATATGGACAATGAACATGATGGTCTTCTAGTGTGGTGCAACATTTATCTGCAGTGCCAGAGATATGACTTCTACTTCCTGCTCCAAGGATGTCTTGCGTTTTATGCCGTCACTAAAAATATCAGATAAAATAATTGATAATGGCACATTAGGTGCCTAGGAATCCTGAACAGATAAACTGAGGGAGCCTGAGGACTGCACTCCTAGTGTTCTATGCTGAAAATCCACTAGAAGAATAATTTCTTCCTTGTATATTAACGTCAAGTAGAGTAGGTTAGCCTACTGCACAGTGTTCTGCACAATCACTGGTAGATCAGTTTAGGAGCTCTGTACCAAGTCATGACGTTCTTAGAGCGAGATACAAGTAAAAGAGAGAGAGAACAGTTAAGATGTCAGTGCATTACCTTGATTTCTTTAAATACAAGGACTCCCCACATTGCAGCAACAAGGCCAGGACCCTAAAAAATAAGATTCATTTGTACATTATAGCATTTCCTAAATTGTGCCACCTTCTCATCATGCTTTTCAGGGTGGTTGTATATTGCCTGGATGGCAAATGTAGACCTTTCCATTCTGTATAATGATAGTGCTCATGGCAAAAGTATAAACATCACTGAAATCTTTATGAAGTAAGACACAATAAATTCTTCAAGAAGGATTAAAGAAGTACAATACTTTTTCAGAGAAGGCATGATTTCTTTCTGAATTAGACTGTGAAGTCTGTAGTGGCTGTCACAGTACAGTCTCTTTAGTCTCCAAATAAGCCTCGCCTTAGTCCAAACTACAGACTTTCATCTGTTATCACATTTCACAAGACTATTCAGGTTTCCTGGCAGCTACCATGGCTCTGCCTAACGTTTTCTTTATTACCATGACTAACTAGTTGGACAAAGTTTGCATTTATCACTCAGCATGAAATCAAAAGACTGAAACATAAATCTCTTTCCTATATATCAGGCATCTGGACAAGCACAAAGCCAGCCAGACAGGTCACAAAAACTACTGTTTATCAGCGGTGCTGTATTACAGATTTCCTAGCAGCAACACAGTGATATACAGTGATAATTTCCAGGCATTCGTGGAAATATTTTTCCCCCGTGAAAGCAGTGATCTGAATTCCTGTGACTGATGGGAAAATATTTTCTGAATATGAAGCAAAAACTGCCTCTGTTGATGTTTCCCACTAAAATGGCTCTGGAGCCACTCTCAGAAATACTTGTCAGGTGTGTGGACAGTGATCTTTCCATCTTCAATACAGCTGGTAGGACACAGACGGAAGCTAGCAGGAAACAGTGTCTTGTGCTGAAGATGTTTGTGGGCTGCTGTTTCTTAGCAGAATTGCCAACCTTTATTCAAATAGCAGCTAAGGTATTATTTCACTTTCTAGACCATGTATATTGCTAGAGGAACGTATCTTCCCTTTTAAAACTGAAGTAAATTGTTAAAGGGATGTGATGAATAGCTGTCTGAAATTCTCTCTGGAATGAAGCAGAGCAGCAGTTCCCAAACTGTGGTCCAGAGAGGCAGTTTCTCATCAACGCTGTCTTTATATTTTTCATTTAGTGATTTCATATCCTTACCCTATAGGCATACTGATAACCAAAGTTACAAAAGCTGCTTTCCATTAATCCTTCAATTTCTACTTAGAATGATCCAGAGTCTTTTTTTTTTACTGCATACTGCGGAGTTTATTCTGATTCACTGCATCTTGAGGCAAAGCGTAATCCCTGTTAATGGTGTTTCATTAGTTTGCAGCCAAAATATGGCTGCTCAGCAGAACTTTGTTTTTGATACTTACGAGCTTTCATTTGCCAGAAGTTATCTAATGCTGCAGCACCATTTAGTAGATTGGCAAGAGAGTAAAGGCAAAGTTTATTTTTACCTAGTGACAGAATTTATGCAGCTTCTGTAAATTAACAGTGCTTTGAAGGTATAACATCATGAAAAACCGGCCAATTTATTTTTCCTTCATTTGCACAAGGTCATTATTTTCAGCAACACATAACCTGTTTTACATGTTCAAGAACTGTAATAAGAAAAATACCTGACTCAATTACGCAAAATGAGTCCTAGAGGATGAAAATCACAAAGGGAGAAATGCAGAACAAAATGTATCTGCTGAAATGAAAATATTTAACCTGCTGGTCAGAGAATGTGTACAATTCTTTTATCAGCTCAGTTCACTGACTGTTTAATAATGTTACAGCGTTGGTTGCAGAGCTTTGCTTTTTATTTTAACCTGAAGGCCTACGCTTTCAGCTCCCGTGTTTTTATGCTTAGCATTGACCAAGACGGTGCTTGTCAATCATACATGTTTCTATAAAAACAAAAGCTAAGACAGACAAGCAAAATAAGAGGAAACGTATATTTTTGAATAACAAGCTCTGGACACCTCAAAATTTCAACTTTATCCCACAAATGGAAAAAGAAAGTCTTTGCTTTAATTCTAATGACAGATTTTCTTCTTATATACTTACTGCAGTAATTATTGGAAAGCTGACCACAGCACTGAGGTAGTGATTGGCTACAAACCAGCAGCAATTGGCTATTGCCCAAAGCACACCAGAAACAAACCCTAAAACAATAAATCCCAGTCAAAAACATGTACAGCAAGGTAAAGACAGCAATTTGTGAAACACTTACATTTACAGCATAATACAGCAACAGAATATTTTAGTATGTTAACTATTTTAACAAGCTGGCTTTGATAATCTAAATCAAAACTCAAGGGATAATATCAGCTACTCCAGTTGAAGTAGCCAGTTAATTACAGTTCAGAATTTTCTGGGCAATGTGTTCCCCACTCTGGCAAAGCGTCAGTTTTAGAAAATCCACTGTATGCAATGTCACATTTCAAATTAGAATAAAATTTACCATTGTTTCCTAACCTTAATTAATTAACCCAAATACAAGTGTCCTTTCAAAAGAGACAAAAAGTCAAATGAATAGACTTCCAAGGTTAACTACAATTCCAATACAAATTTCGAATTAACCATGGCAAAATTGTCAGAAGAGGTATTTGAAATTAATTGCTAAACTAACAAATAGTCCTACCTGGCAGTATGGCTTGGGGATAAACGTCAGGTTTGTTTTTTCTGATTGCACAGTAGATCAAAAAGTATATGGTACTTGTAAGAAAGATTCCACTGAAGTGTGCAAAAACATAATCTAAATCTGAAAGAGAAATTACAAAACTGTGTTTAGTCTAAAGGATCAGTTGTTATTAATTTTAACTAAATTTATTTCACTGATAGTATTCCTGTACACAAAAATCCTTAAGGTGTTAATGCTAATACCTCAAAGTTTAATTGTGGTTGTGAGGAACAGAGCTGCAGTCTGACTGTGGATAGATTTGACTGGTCATACGTATGATATTAAACCTGAACTGACTGCCAAATGGACCCTAGCATTTATCACAAGCTTTTATGCATTTCTGTGAGTTGTTTTTTTTGGAACTCTCTTAGTTAAGCTACAATATTAATTTAATTTAAAAACGTGACAAAATCCTCACTTGGGGCTACTAAACTGGGTGGCTGTGGTGGTGGTGGTGGTGGTTTTACATAACTACATTCCCTCCTGACTATCTACAGCTACATTCCATACATAGCCCTGTTTCTTTTCTTTCTGCTGTACGTTTAAAGGCAAAACAACTGCACATACAACAGAGGCTCAAAAATGCAGTTTTTTGTCTTTTTTTAATCTTGAACAGTCTATTACAGTTTTGATCAAGATAAACATTAACAATAATGAAACCTTTATGGAATATATTTTGATACATGCTAAAGATGGAATATCTCCAACACGGTAAAGCAGCAGATGTAACGAGATGATCTCTATCTCCTTAGAGTTGTGGATCCTCACTGGGAAAAGCAGCTACAACAATGACAATGGCTGTTTTGTCTAACTTTGGATTTATAAGTTGCTGTATTAAAGAGACAAATTGTATATGATACAATGAATATTTTTATGGCAACATAGTGCTGTCTCAATGCTATGTTACTTTTAAGGAGCTGTTGGTATTAACAGACTGGTTTACAGTAAACCATAAGGAAAATGTTTCTGGACAAATGTTGTTTGAACAACAGCAATGCTTACAAGCATATTATTAAAACTTACAAGTTACTGTTAAAAGGTTTCCATTTCAAAAACTGTAAGGTTTTAATTATTCAACTTGTTATATATCTCTTCTGCTCATCAGTTATGTTCAGCCACCTTCTGTTCCTTTCCTGGTACTAATTTGGCAATTGATAGAACTTGTGCCCTTGTTTATCACATGTTCAAGGCATATGGACTCGGTATTTTGAGAGTGCTAGCTTTGTTTCAGAATGCATTACCATTGCATTTAATACTGTGAGTTAAGTTTGGTATTTTCTGCTCTGTTTCCCACTGTTCTTCTAATGGTGAAATTCACCTCTGGGGAAAGGACTGCTAGTATTATCATTACTACAACTCAATAATGTGCAACACAGCGCAGAACTGATTAGTTCTTTGTCACCATGTATTTCTGGGATTATCAAGTATTTCACTCTGTGCCTTTATCAAAGCAAAGACCACAATGCAGTGATGAAGTAAAATAAAAGTGACCTATTAGCATTTACCAAATTGACTTGCTCCTGTGTATATAGTTCCATTTCTTCTTCCATGGTCCTTGATGTAAAGTACAGGTACAAAGCTGGAACCATAGAGTATTCCAGCTACTACAGCCAAGCTACATCCTCTTTAAAAAGAGCCTCGTGTTAATCAGGGACACAGACAATATACTTAACATAAATCCGATACCACAGTTTTAAGACTGCAAATCATAGGAAAATTGCTTGCTAGCAATGCTATAAAAATAATACATTTTAGCACATTTTTATTTTGTAGTGTAGAAATGGTTCAAAACAGTAGCTTAGTTTTCCTGAACTATCCGGCCAAGAAACACAGACAATCCTCGCCCCAAGAGCCTGCAGTCTGGGTTAGTGACAAGAGACATCAACTAACTAGGATTCCTTAAAAGACAAGCTGGGAGAAATCCAACAAAAATATACTTAAAACGCTCATCATTACATACCATAGATCAGTGCCTCCCACTCTCAACTTCACTGTTGTAGTCTTTTCATTTTCCTCATAACCATTCTGAGGTTCATTGTCTCCTCGCTCCCCTTCTCCCCCTCCAGAACACCATCTTTATTCCCCACACTACCTTTCCAGCTACTGTTTCCACCTTGCCCCTTGGATCACTTCTGCTGTCTCCTTGCCATACTGCCACACCTTCTCCAGCTGTACACATCTGGGACCCCTCTCTGGAAGTGTGTTATTAACTTGGGCTCCTCGTAATTTTGAATGGTAATTAACCAGGTGATACAAACCAGCTCTGTAATTACTCAATTACTATTGCTATTTATTCTGAAAATATTGTTATTATATAATAGTAATTAAAACTCTGACTTTATCAGTAAGATAAAGCATACTGAACAATCAGAATTATCTAATTAGTTTAGCAGCTATTCACACACACATATGCATACTGTACGAATATTTTAAAAGCTGTTATTTATTTCGCCCATGACTGTTCGGTAGGTACAGTACAGGACACAAATTCTGCTCTTACTCTGTGAACAATTACTTTCTTTGGCTATTTGGCTTGTACCAATAAAAAAATTTTTAATGACTTACATGACTCTCTTTCTTGCTGGAGACAGTCTGTTCACCCATGAGTCATCAGAATTATTTGCAGAAACATTAATAGACTACAGAAAAACATGAGTTTTTACTCAAGTCTTTAAAAAATCTGAAACACTGTATTCAATTGAACATTTTTTGCACTAAGAAAGGAAAACTAAAAGTGGAAGGAGAAACGAAATAAATTTATAGAACTGCTCTCAATTAAAGAAAGGAGAAATATGTCTGGAAATAAACTGTAATAATAGGATCTACCTGCCTAAAGTTTAGCAGTGTTTGGCTATGGACTTTGGGTTTACTACAAAATAGAGAATCGACAAACATTTCTTTTTGTCTGCAAACAGGTCTGAATTTCAAAACTTGTCCTTTCTAAAATTTGAGGAATGATTTAATCCATAGATTTCACTTAGTGTTTTCACCTTTTGCTGTTATCTGTGGTATTACTTGCCATCAGAATATTAGGACTATTTGCACATGAGGACATAACATAACATAAAAGGGGCCTACAACACAAAGAAGTTGGAATATTCCTTTGTCCTCATCCTGTAAAGTTGTCTTTTGTGATTTGCTCTGGTAAACTGGAATCTCTAATGAGCAGCGAGCACAGCTATACAATGAGGAACTCTATTCATTTAGCAACTGATTTTTGGTAACTGACTGACAATAGCAAGGGCAGGGATAGGCAAAGGTTGTGGGAGTGTACTGTTCTCCAGCTTTTGTCAAAGGAGCGACAGCCAATCTGGTACCAGAGCCCCTGGTCTCTAGCCTGTGCCACATCCAATGCTGAGAATCAGAGAACCACAATAAGCGCTTTGACAGTCTTGGCTCTGTAAGGCGGCAAAAAATCTGGTGCATAAGAGTTATATACCCTGCTGCCTTTCAAGTAAGCATTCTCCTACTTTTATAGTTCCAAAAACAGTAAAGGAAAAGACTGAGTCTTTTATATAACCTGTGTCATAATGAAAAAGGACTTGCAAGCCATTTAAAGCAGACAATAACGAAATACAACTGGGCAAAGACTTTTTTGCTGCTCACATTTTGACTGGATATACAAGACCCACAAATGAAATACAAACCATGTGTATTTATGTAGTTTTATGTAGTTTACCAAAATCCTAACAGATCTGGTTAGCATTAAGTTTTTTTTTTGTTTTCAAACTGATGCATATTTTCACTGCTGTAAAAAAAACCAACTGTAGAGTACTTACACTTTCTCTCAGTAATGGGGTGCTTTCTAATGAAGCTGAAGAACTCTGCACTTCAGTCTTTACAAAAAGAAATATGACAGCACTGTGAAGAGAAATATATGCCAATAAACACCAAAGATCAACCAACTCATGAGAACGCAACATTTAGCATCCAGAGACAAAAGTTATTTGAACGCATATTACTTATTTCATTTTTATCACCCCAGCGTCACTTCAATGTATCTTTAAAATGCAGCTGCTTTAGACAACCTTAACAAATCACTCACACAAAAATAATTAGATTAGTCTTTGCATCACTTTATAGTTCTCTCTTCTACATAACGAGACTGAAATGCCTCTTTTAAACAGTGTGCAGTTAGTCATATGCTAACAACACTTGCTTTAAGTTAACAGTGCCCTTTTGTGCCAGACCACATGTATACTGGAATATTTGCACAAAAATTCTATATGGAACTTCAGACCTGTATAGAACTGGATTGTTGCTCAGCACGAAAGTTAGCTTTGTGCCTTCCGTTATATGCAAGTGGGGGAACGCTGTCCTTACGGCCTCGTGCATATGTGCAAGGAGAAGGGGTAATGCTAAATGGTGCTCCAGTGCACTGAGTGAGTCAAGTGGAGAACGAAGGGGAACGTTAGTACTTGTACCCCTAGCTCGATAAAATCACGTAAATATGTGTAATGAAAACTGGCAGGTGCTGGTTTTCTTAACGCAAAATATTTTAATGATTTGGGAATTCCTTCTCAAAGCTGTAAATAGAATGTCTCTATCAAGAGTGATTCATCTGTCAACTTCCTCCAGAGGGACTAGGTACATGCACAGAGGTCCCACACAGGAGGCTAAGATGAAACACAAGCTGTGAGCTCTACAGAGCAACACATACGGGTTTTGTGCAGCCTGCCAGGAAAACATGTTTGGTCAGGATCTTTTTCTTGTTGACTGCTCTTCCATGGTATCTCAGAAATAGGAAGGAAGCAGGTGGTGCACTGAATAAATCCATCAGGCAGGAATAGCAGCATTGCTACTATTTTGTGAGTACCTCACAAAACCATGAAGTACATGGAATGGTAATGGGTAAAAAGCTACGGATTCTCAGGAGAGGATGAGCGGAAGCAAAATTCATAAATATTCTGAAGGCAGCAGCTCGCTCCTAGCAATCAGGAATGGGCTCCATTGTCTCAGTGTTCTTAACACCCCTTTTTTCCTAGAGGCATTATGTGTACAGACTGCTTACCACACTTATGGTAAGCCTACTGTCCTGAAATTTTGAGCCATCCATCTGCTCCTAGAAAGACCTTCCTGGCCACCCAGTTGGAAAGCATGGATGCTGCTGCTACATAACAAAGACCCTCTTTCCTCAGTGTTCAGATCAAAATCTTCACTCCTACAAATAATAAATATGTGAGTAGAGATCTCTCTGAGGATCACAGAGAAAATCCCTGCTTGGGAGTTCTTAGAAGTGTAGCTTAAGAGTTACAGGACAGGAAGCTATTAAGGACAAGAGATAATGCAAAGTCCTTGGCTTTCCATGATCCTAAAGGATCCAAGAAGGGGTCCTGTGGCCTATTCTGTGGTAGGAGGAGGGATTCGTACCACCGACTGAAGCGAGACAGGAAATCTCACAGAGGTTTTCTCCCCAAGATTCTTCTACAGAGTTTTACTAAGAATAATTTTCCTCTTTCACAAACTTTGGGTAAAGTGCCCCATATGAAATATCAGGCTAAGAAGAAAGTAAATGTACCTCTGCTTTGCCTTGAACATGCCTACCACCATAAAAATATATTTCTACAGTTATGAATACCCATTTCACCACTCTACTGGAAATCAGGTATGCTTGTACTCTGAAATATAATACTGGCCAACTAGGTATGGACAACTCATGAATTATGTGGCAAATGAACTTGCAGAATGTGCCTTAACCCATTTACCCTCTGGTTAAATTGTCACAGTAGTTACTGAATATATGATATTTTACATTATAGAAATGAATAATAATAATAATCTTTTACCTTAACAATGAAAGTCCAGCTCCAATGTAATTTAATATTGGTCTTGATACCTCTTCTGGGTCAATTCCAAACCAACCAAACCTGGAATATTTACCTAGTTTCACTTAATTGCACGGACTACATACAAATATTTAAACTATAACCAGGAATTCTTTACTCATACAAATGATTCTACTCATGCCTAGATTTGCAATATTGCACTGGTGCTTCAGCTGACTTGCAAAAAGACAGGTTTTCTTAAAAAATAATCTTTAAACTAACTGAAATCAACTTTTTTGAATCTGTAAATTGAAAGATTGAAATTAATGTAAATTATTTTATCAGCCCATATTGTAGAAGAAAAAATGCAATGTACTAGTTTCATGTTAACAAATAAAATATTTATTCAATAAATTACGTTACTGAACATCTTGGGCATTTTTCTTCCTATCGCGAAAAAGAGGAAACACAAAAAGACAGAATAAAATAATTAACCTGAGTACTTTCTTCTGAGAGGGAAAAAGATCTTTTATGTATGATAAATCCTCCTTCTTAGTGATAATATTTTCACTGTAGTTACTAATGAAGAAATGGCAACATTAATAACACATGACTTAAGACTTAAGTGCACTCACCTTGAACTTGCCCAGCCTGTTAGCAAATTAAAGGAAGCCCATATCAAAAGACCAAGAGCTAAGCCAATAGTTTTAACAATAGGGACAACTGTAACATTACCTGAAATACAAAACCCACAAAATTCAGCTCAATCTATTAAAAACTAGAATATGATATTGCACAATTTTCCACAGATTCTGAGACTGTTCAGAAAGTAAAGTGATTTAGGCAACTACAGATTAATGTTTTTTAAAACTAAATACATTAGACATGGATTTTTCTTCAATACCATTTTTAAAGTTATTTTTGGTGTGAATTTGCTACTTATAAAAAGCTGAAAGCATTAACTAGGGCCACCCAGCATATGCAACATCATTATTCACAATAATATTTCCTATAAGAGTACAGGTCTATTAATGCTGAGACTAAGAACTAAGAAGAATACCTTGTATATAGAAGAGCTTTTAACACTTTTTTTTTTTAAGAAGAGTTAGGATTACTTCTTGTTTCAAGGAGTAGAACCTCCTTCTCCTTACCTGTAGCCCACACAAAACCCCCAACCATAGCCAGAGGCCAAAACCGGGGGCAGTTTTGGATTAGATTGACCACCAAAGAAACTATCCATATGGAAGCACAGAGAATCCATTGGAAAAACATGCCTATGGAAAAGTCAAATGGTCACAATGGTTAAAAATAGACAAGTGGTAGAATACTGCATATGTGAATCTCTTACCTCTTAACTTACTAAGTTTTAGATGAAATATTACAGAAAAAATTGAAATGTGGGCATCTCCTTAGTGAATTTCAGGGAACCAACGTTACAGTACATTTAAGGATATATTTTAGGGGGGAATATTAGAAGTCAACCACTTAACTGCAAAAGACACTTTGCTGGGCAACATTACGCAGCCCAGATTCTCAAACTTTGGCAGGTTTCTGACAAAGAGGGTATTAAGTTACTGCAAACTTCTCCCACCCCAGGAGCAGCCAGCACAGCTTACTGAATAGGACAAAATAGCTTCGATGCGATTTTAATTTGCACTATATGGCATGCAAGCTTTTCCACTAACTAAATCCAAGACATGCAGGTTGATACAAATGCTGGGCACATCTCTTCTACCTTTGCAGACCCTCTAGGGGTCAACAGTAGGTAGATCAGTTAACTTTATGCTGGCTGAGTTAAAACTTGTTAGTACTGTTAATTTCCAGCCTGTAATGCAGTTATTATTACAATAATACAATACAAGATTTGTTCATCTAAGGATCTGGTAACTGATTATGTCTCATACAAATGTGGAATTACAATAGGAACCCAGTAGAGTAAAGTGATAAAATTCTAAGTAGGAAATAGAAGTCACTGTTTTCTCTTACTGAGCCACTAGATAGAAGTATTAAAACTTCCTTTTTTTATTGTTTTTATGTTATCTTATGTCCACAACTGAAGGGCAATACTCCAAAGTCTAACAACTTGTACAGCGTAAATAACACTGCCAATATGTATTTTAGATTCCCCATAAGGGTAGAAGAACGGGCATTTCACTTTCCATTGTGAAATGCTTGTGAAATACACATCATGACTGCTAAAGTGGACAACAACATATAAGAAGAATATATTAAAGTTTTGCCACATCCTAAAGAATGTGTTATTACTTTATACTCTAATAGTAAAGAAAATGAAAACATGCTCCAGCGATCAAGACTGTGATGATATTTACGACTCTCCCTCTAGAAACTTTCACATTTGCTGGTAAAAGACCATTCTTACTAAAAAAAAAAATTAAATAAAAATATAAATAAATTGTTTACCATCACCAGTATCAAATTTCTTAACAGGCACAAAGTTTGTCCCGAATAAAAGGACAGCTACTGTAGAAGACGTAAAGCCAATAGTTAGATCTGTTCCATTGCTGCTGTTAAAGGTGTTATACGCTTTCCAGATGTTCATTTCTGTTCTGAAGCTGCCTCTTTTTGTGGAGTTGTTTTACTGTAGGTCCTGACAGGTTCTGAAATAAGAGAGTGTAATTAAATATGTGGACCACAACAATACTCATGTAGCTTGGAAACACGTAGCTTAATGGAGCCCACTTTTCTACCTCTCAAAAGTAGAGAAAACTGGCAAAGTATACCGCAGAATCTCATGAACAGCTGCCATAACACTTGAATGCAAGTGCAACCTGAGAAACACACACACACAAATTCTCTTCTATGGATCATAAACAACTTCACACAAAAGTGTGTTTGAAAACATGCAGCAACATGAATGTAGAGATGCACTCAAAGGTTATGAAGATTACAGTGTATGAGGCCTTTGGAAAGCCCTAGAGCTTCACAGGGAGATGCCCTGTCACAACATTTCTAACTCCTAAGCCAAATAGACCACATTGGGGTGTGTAAAACAGCAAGGATTAGGCAACTAGATAAAATCCTCACTGATGGAAGAAGCTGCAGTAATGTGCAATCCTATTGCCTAGAAGTCAGGATTGGGCACAGAGATTCCACAGAAGAACAATATGGGAGCACAGGGTGCTCTAATTGGTAATAAAGCATGAATAAAAGTTCATTTTTCCCGTGGGGGAGAAAAGAAGCCGCCTAAAATTTCTTCCTTCGTTACACATAGCTACAATTAAGTAAAATACAGGTGAAGACTTCTTTTTCATCCCATAATGCCAGTTTTTTAGTGGGAGATTCATCTGGAGGCCAAGCTCAACAGAAGTAGTAGCATGTATATGCTTTTGATATGGACTATAACGCTGATAGAAAAGGCATCTCTGATTGCGTTCTGACAGAACACAATCATTGTAAACATAATCTTAACACCACACTTTAAAGGCTACATGTTAAGGGAACCGTTTGGGAATGTAACTTCAAATGTCAACAAATTACAAAAGTTCTTTATTCTACATTGGGGGGCTTCCTGATTTCAAAGAGTTTTACACTGTTAAAAATGACAAAGGGTAGCTTTACGCAGTCAGTATAAAAGTGCCTATTTATTAGGACATGCAGGCAATTCTATCGCTGAAGTAATGCTGTTTATACTGACTACAACGTTATCCCAGTGCAGTTAGACATTTTCCTGTGAAGGTGGACCAGATACTGGAGGAAAAAAAAGTTGAATTAGGATGGGGGATATCTGGCCATATCTTGTAAGAGGTACCGTGACTACACTCTCCACATAAAAGGAAGAGCCGAGTTGCCTCGCACCCATTCATACTACTTTACCCTGAAGCCTCACCCTCTCTGGAGTACTTAGGATATGGAGAACTGCATCTGCTGAGGTGGCGCTTTTACCCACACCTCCAGCAGTGCCACCAGCGTTGGGTGAAATTAATTATTTGTATTAGCAGATGAAAAGTTCAATCCCCACAGGGAGTATAACTGTTTAGCTTAGTCTCTGTAATTTTTTCTCCTTGAAAGATGTTAGGATATTTTTTCCTTGAGAACTTAGGAAAAACACAGGTGGCATTTAGCAGAACATCATGAAGGTACAAGGGGACAGGTATTTCATTTGTCTGATTCTCTTCTTCTCCTTGTATTCTTTGTCCTTCTTGTCTCCTTATAGGATAAGCTCCTCCAGACACTGTTCACTGTATTAACAACTTATCTGTAAAATGTTTTGCCTGGGACCTGTAGGAACCAAACAGCACAAGTAACAATGCTGGGATTCCTTCGAAGGCTGACTTCACAGGCTGAGAAACACTGTGACACCACAGGAAGGGGTTCAGACAGATAAAGGCTTATGTGAACTATCTTCATCCATCAAACTTGCTGACTCGCTGAGTGAATACATTAAATCCCTTTAGTGGGCAAGTAAGGCACAGGGGCTGGCTTTTGCACAGGAACAACTTCATGTAGGGCACACAGAAGTAAAGCTGATTACCCTGCACACGTGTGAACGCAGGACTCTGCTGTTCAGCCTTTAATTAAATGATTATTTGGGTAAAATATTAAGAATCTTTCAGAGAAAAGGCAGTTTTTCATCCTTGCTGGCTTTGTTACTGTAGAGAGAAATATTATTTTAAAAATATTTTATTTTTGTAGCTACTAGGAGGCAAAGTGTGTGCTGCAGGGCAAGATACTTTTCTGCTTGCTTTTTATCTTTTAAAATCTCTATACTGTGCACAATGAAGACTGCTGCACAACTGAAGAGCTGGAATCACGACACCAAAAATACAAAGGAAATTAAACTTCTAATTAACTGTGAAATAATATGCTTTATTCAGACTGTTTAAAAGTCTCTGTCTTTCCAACCTTTGGGGCACTTGGACTTCAAAATTTGGTTTAACTTCAGGAAGAATTTCCTACTCTATTTTAATGTTTCACAAGAAAACTCAGCTAGACGAGGCCCTGAACAATCTGATCTAATTTTGACGATAACTCTGCTTTGAGCAGGGAACTGGACTGGATGACCTCCACAGGCCCCCTCTAAGCCAAATTATTCTATGATTATATGATCCAATGTCAGGAGGAAATGATGAACTGGCACACAGCGCTGAACTGACTGCACTTGTTTTGCACATACTTGGGCACTGGCCTCTGTCCGGCTGAGAGAGCTCCAGAGGGCTCCTTAAGAGTCCCTTTTGTTCTCTCTGAGCCAACGAATTGCCAGACTCACTTGCCAGCAAGTGTGCCTCCCAAGGCTTATAGCTACCAAGTGCCAAACCAGAGGCACTTGCTAAAGTTGCTTAAATGTTGGGAAGTAGAGGCAAGTGGAGTCATTGCTTTTATTGGCGGGGCTACTTAAGGGGTTCCTTAGTTGCTGCAGAAGATCATAAAATTTTGCTGGTATATATTGGCTTCATTCTACTAATTTCACTTGTTTGACCTCATTAGAAGGTCACGTTCTGTATTTTCACGGTTTCCTCAGAAATATCCCACCACGCTATTCCTTTGAGTAAAGGGAACGACAAATTATGATGCTCGCTTAACGCAGCAACGGCTTGCTGTCCTCTTTGCAGACAAGTATGAAATCCCTGAGCACCTTCCTCTGAAGGTGGACCCAAAACATTGCCACGATCTGAGAAAAACGGCTCATGCGAATTGAGCAGGTATTTTCAGAGGCTGCATGCCACAGCGCCAGCTTATTTGTAAGTTTCTCCTGTAACCTCTTTGCAATCAGGGGCAGGTATTTCCACTCTTATTTGAGGAGACTCCTGGCATTTCTGAGAAGGCGCACTCTGACGTGACACTAAAACCTCGCCAGCTGCTAGAAAAACGTTTCTTCTTCTCGCTACGACAAACGCTTTTGAAAGGTAATTCTTCAGGCGGTATTTTCAGTAAGCTGCGTCAAATAGCAAGGAAAAATAAGCAGGGGAACTCACTACGTCGCCAGATTTTATTTCTCCTACTTCCACCAAGCAGAAACGAGTACCAGGATTTCAACAGAAACGCTCTCAAAAGCAGGAAATGACCCAAGTACGTGGCAGGCTGCACAGCCAGCCACGAAGGAAACACCAGCAAGCTGCGTGTGGCAGGACTGC